CTGATTGTACACACAAGTACTCTGATGTTGGCATTAAAAAGATGCTTGAGTTTCTGATTGACAATATCTCTGTGGTTTTTGGAGACCAGGTCTTCCAACAATCTATTGGAATTGCTATGGGTACCAATTGCACCCCGTTATTAGCAGACCTTTTTTTGTATTCATATGAAGCAGAATTTGTCCAAAATCTTGTACGTGAAAAGAAGAAAACACTTGCTGTGGCCTTCAACTCGACATTTAGATATATCGACGACGTATTGTCAATTAACAATGGCTATTTTCATTCTTATGTCGATACGATATATCCTGGTGAACTTGAGATAAAAGATACCACAGAGTCTGACACATCTGTTTCATATTTGGATATTTTACTTGAAAAAGACGTTAATGGTAATCTAACAACCAAGCTTTATGATAAACGTGATGACTTTAACTTTTCAATCGTCAACTTCCCTTACTTATGCAGCAATATACCTTCATCACCTGCATACGGGGTATATATCTCTCAGTTGATTCGATACGCAAGAGCATGCTCTACGTATGTACACTTTCTAAAACGAGGTAAATTATTGACCAAATAAGTTGATGAAACAAGAATATCAGCTGTCTCGTTTAAAGTCATCATTTCGTAAGTTCTATGGTCGATACAATGACCTTGTCAGCAAATACAATTTATCATTGAGTCAAATGCTGACTGACGTTTTTCATACAAATTGTTAGGCCATTATTTACACACTGAATTGTCGGCGGATTTTTCCGTTATTTCCCGATCATGACAAGGAGAACACGGCGAGTGTGACCGGTCGGCAGGGGATGCTCACTCCTCCATGGCACCTGATCCCACCTCTGATGTTTGGAGGTCCGTGTTTGCTCTGCTCCTATTTTGTATTGTATAATGGACTTTTGAGCTTGAATACTGTTCGTTATCTCCATATATTTCATTTATCCACTCATGACTTAGTTTACAAAATGAACTTGGAATGGCCATTCTATGGTTTGTTTTGTGTTAGACCGTAGGTCGCTGGTTCACATGCCGATCGATCCCCGGTGACCTCCTTTGCCACGCGCTATCGAGGGAGATGTTACATAATTGTAAACACACAAGGTGAATGTTAAAGACGTGCACTTAATGGCTGTGAATAGTCTATGCTTCCAAGTTATGTTTTATTTTCTCACTATATTGTTTGTTTTTATATGATAAGAAGAAAAAGTTGTATTTTTTCCCTTTTTTAGTAGACTGGTTTATTCGAATTTGAAAAAAATGAAATAAAAGGGAAAGTTCTTAGTAATAACTCGGAAATAAAGCACAAAACACTTCAAGAACATTATTCTAAAGAATATTAGCATCTAATGTAGCCAGGTTTATTATTTATAGTAAGTTTATCTTAGTTACGCGCATGAAGAGCTCTCGTTTACTTGCTGAATGAAAACATTTACCTGTATATGGGTCAAGCTTCTGGCTCATTTAAAACACAACACTCGAACAAAATAACATTTTCCTGAGATCAATAAGATGTTTAAGAACAACTTTTTTAGCGGCAGCCATTTCGAAATATTTACCGTTTTTGAGTTATAAAGCAAAAACTTTAAAGGGCTCCAGATCTCTAATTTTAGGGGCCAGCCCCTTCTTAGTGGTGTCAAATGAAAGGCCTAAAAATTGTGCACAACTTTTATTCTACATGTCTTATCAAAATATTTTTAGTTTTAAAGATACAAAGAAAAATATGTCTAAATTTTCGCTCTTTTAGGCGTTCTAATTTTTGACCCCTATATAGCGCCATTTTGAAAACAGAAATCGAAAAACAAAAACCGATGTGCACAACTTCAATTCTTCTGTTACTTAAATTCGGTATAATTTCTGCTCAAGCTTTTGTAGTCTCGGAGTCTTTGTCTGGAAATGAAGGCAAGTAAATTTTCTTTAAAGGGAAATAACTCAAAAGCGGAAGTGACTTTTTGAAATGTTTGACATCATTCTGATAGAGTTTTGTAACGTCTATAAACTCTGCAAATTTGAGCAAAATCCGTATATGTATATACCAGATACATATATCTGGGTAGGTTGTCCCAGATATTTACAGCTTACATTTTTGTGTATTTCTTTTATCCGATTTCCAAATTTATAATATATCCAAATTCATATTTTTAAAATTGCCCTTCCATATTATCTTTCTTTAATTTCTTTTTATCATGTATAGTTACGCTATTTTGAGAGAATAAGACAATGTACGATTTATTGCTTGTCGTAATTAATTAGCGATAATTAATTCGTTCAATTATGTTCAATTATGTAAATCGCACTTCACCAGAGTTCACCCGATAGACCGGACGCAATTCATAGCGCTCCGGATTTCTTTGTTCACGACTGTTTATTTACTTGAAATTAAACATGTAACACTGTAAATATTTAGTGTTTGGTAGTTTAGTAGTAGTGCTAGTTGTTTTTGTTTCTCTATTTCTTTTATTTTTATGACTTCTTAACTTTTTCTTTGTCCTGAGGAAGGGGCAGGTCGTCCCGAAAATTTGACAATTATTATTGTTCGTGTATTGTTCGAGTGATTTAATATATATATATATATATATATATATATATATATATATATATATATATATATATATATATATATATATATATATATATATATATATATATATATATTAAATCACTCTTTTTGTTAAATTCTGCTCTCAAATATGTATGATTACTTTGACCATTCCGATTGAATTCAGTAAAAGCTAAAGGATTTATAATAATTACATTGTTTGTTAAATTTTGAATGCCATAAAAATGGCATTTTGTGACTGAAGAAAAGTTAAATAATTGATTTCGCGAACTGATTTGAAATTTTTATATTTTCACAATTTTAATGAGTCTATTCAAGAGAGAATAAGACTATAAGAGTAAGAGTAAGTAAGAAGACTAAGAAGAAGATTTTGGTTCATGATTTATTTCAATGAAAAATATTGGAGAAAAAACTTTTTTTAAAAGTGATTTATGTTGAAGACGCACTTACAGTTCAGAAAGGTCATATTACGTGCACCGTAGCGCCAAAAGAAGAGCATCGTCCCCCATTTTTTGCATTGGTATTTAATTAAGCTATGTGTGTAGACACTAAAATATACTTGACAAAAAATTCTTGACTTTTGATGGCAGGAACCAATCTCCCTAAGAAGCATAGGCAACCCTCACTCCTATATTCCTTATCTGTCTTGATCAAAAGAACTCTAGCTACGCCCCTGAATTCTTAACAAAAAAAACCATATGCTATATAAGTGTTTCATCAAAGAGGGTTGTGCTGTCTCAATCCATTGAAATTAAACAAGTTTTCATGATCATTTCATATCAAAGTTCAAATTTAAAAAAAAATTATACACCCAAATGTGATTATGTTTAGTTAATACTATCAGTATTGATTGGGTTGACTGGTGCTTTAAAATATAATATTTATTAAAGAAATTAAGCCTTATAAAGTAACATATCGGGCTTCTGTAATATTTATTGGTATAACTAAATTCGTGCAGGTACTTACAAATAGTGTAAATGAAAAATTGAGCTGGGTTGTTTTTAAATTTCAATGGTTAGTACACGTAGTTGATAACAAACACTATTATTCCAATAACAGTGTGTCAGTTCGTTTGACTGAGCGTGGTAAATTTTTTTTTTAACTTATTATCATATAACTCATCAACTGGATGATTGAATTCAATCAATTAAAATTACTTTGCATATGAAACAACACCACAGATAAAACTGACAAATAGTTTTAAATGGTTGATTACAAATAAGGCATTTGTAGTGAGCAGCAATCGACCCCTGGACAGTCAAACCCCCATTTCGCTTTCTATATTTAGTTGTGAAGTAGTGTATGGAGGTAACATAAGCCAATCAAATAAGTATGGCTACAGATCTACTAATAAATAGGCATAAGTTTGCGAGTGAAAGCTAAAAAGCCATGCTTTATACACTAGACAAAATTTCTAACGCACCACTTGTTATTCTCGTATTAATTGAACATTTGCCTACTCGGCACTAGTAAATCAAATATACCGTCTTTCCCAATACAGTGGAATTGACAAATGCCTTGGTGTCCTGGGAAGACCCTCTTGCCCGAAAACCAATTTCCCGACATCCAATGCGCACCGTTTTTGTCCAGATATAAAATTTGTCACCGTTGATATATATATATATATATATATATATATATATATATATATATATATATATATATATATATATATATATATATATATATATATAATTTTACAACAACTCTTAAACTAACATATCTGCCCTAATGGAATAGATATTCATAGAGAAAGTACAAAGAAATACTTTTTTTAAGGATGCCCACTTCCGCCTCCAACTGGGGTTAAACGCAGTCTCCTAGCAGTACAGGAAGAGCACGCTAGACCACTGGGTCATCTAGGCAAGTCAAAAAATTGTCCACATTCTAGTTGACTGAATAAGGCACTTGACTTTTGAATTGCCATTTTATTGTCTTTAACCATTCAAAAAGAACTGGTAAATGTCTTATAAAGGACCATTTTAAAAACTACATGTATATCGATTTTATTCTACTTTTATTTTATAGACAAGAAAAAATAACAAAAAAGAGGTAGCTAAAACAGATGTGTAACTTAAATAGATAAAACAATGGTAAACAGTTCATTAATCTTAGATATATTGCATATTTTGTACATAATATTGTTTACTTGAAGCATAGTCACATAGTAACAAATAACAATGGACCCAATACAGAACTAGAACATTTTTTGATTCGAAAACACATTACTGAATGCTTATCTTGCCAATATAATGCGTGCCTATGCTCGCTAATTAAGACTGTCTGATCAAGCAGATGTAGACACAATTTCATACCTATTTTCTTATGCAGCTTCAGATATATGCATGTTATCGAAAATGGACAGTATGAAGCATTTATTGAAATTTTTAAGAAACTAGTTTGAAATTACATTGAACAATAATTATTTATTATGTCTTTGAATAAAGTTGTAGAGTAATTTTTTTTTTAAAAAAAGAAGAAGAGTAAAATAGCATTAAATGAGAATATATGCCTTTTCAATGGATTAAACTGAACGCTTTATTCCGGAGCTACTGATTTATAGTAGAGGAGAACTGAAGTATTGTTATCCTTTCATGATTTCTACCAACATGACAACTCCTCCTCCGATCGCTGCTATCATTCCCATGATGCTGAAGGCGAAAGCGAAGTGGTAGTTAAAGTCCAAGTTTGCGTACAAGTCGTTAAGTTTGGCAGAATACACTGCTATTGATATAAGGATAAACACCGCTACAAGAAAAAAATTATTGAAAGGTAACAGAGAAAACAATTCTGGCAACAATTATCACTAAATATGATCTAAGTTGAAGTTTTCAACGATCATGTAAGATGTTGACATTATATTCAAAGAAAAATCAAATTTCTTTTAAACTGTAGTCTTATAAACATGTACCAAAGCTTATTCGCAAGTACTGAAATTGGAAGTGATCTGTGGAAATCTTGTAATGATATCTCGTGATATTTATACAACATATCTTATAAGATAATTTAAAATTACTTGTAAAAACAAATATATACTACATATGTAGCAAATACGTGCATTTCTTTAGATGCCTATATTTCTTTCATCCTTAAATAATTTTTTTATTAAAAATGTCTAATTGATGTTTAATAAAAAACCGAAACTCTTTTTCCAAACGGGAAAACCTATTAAGCAAGCTTCATGTGTATGACTTTTCCTACCAACTTAACAGGGATACGCGTTTTCTAGGGGGGGTACAAGGTCACTTTAAGTTGCTTTAGTATAACCATTTAATAACTCTGCAAATTCCAGGGGGGGGGGTCTGGTCCCACCAACTTCCTCCCCAACTATTCTTATAGATCCGCGCTTTTGAAGAAAATAACAGGGTAGATACGAGGCACTTTGTGAAGTCAGGGATATTTCATGTTAGCATTTTCAGTTACACATATGGAGAATTGGTGTTTATTCTGCTCATTTGCATATTGGCTATATTGGAGCTATATTGGGGACAGATTACATAAATATTTATATTGAAAATATACAAAAAAGGCAAATGCTCATATTCTAGCTCTATGTATTTCGGATGAATTTCTTCCGCCAATGATTTGATTTTTTTTAATATCTTCTACCGAAATGACACCAAAGTGAAAGTTTCGATCGCCTTTTTTGATATGAAAATTCGAAGGGATTGTATATTGTTTTACTGAAGGAAAGGTCACATATTATGTTAAGGCTTCCCGAAGCTTTAAAATGCGCTCAAAATATAATATGTCATTGTGAGGTCGGTTTTGGTTTTAATTTATAAGTAATAAACTTTAGTACTTCCAATTTATATAAATGGTTTCCTCGGCTATATATTAACATATTTGTTATGATATCACATGACTTTGTTGATCACATGACGGTCATTTATAATTTTTTGAAGTGTTACATATAAATCGCTTCGCCGCAGCTGATTAACACGATAATTATTAACGTTTTTTTTATATAAATAAACCCATCGTATCCTTGTGTATCCGAAATGTGCTTGGGAAAAGTCATGGTATTACTTTGGTACAAAATATTTCCTGAGAAATTCAACTTACCTACAAATTTGATGGTATTTTCCATTCAATATTGTAATCTGTATTAAAACAAAGCCAATACACATTTTTCCCAAGCAAGATTCCGTTTGAGAACAACCTCTTCTTACAGTTTTCAACAAAAATTCTCAGATTAACCCTCATTAATCACCTGCGCCAGACTCTTTTATACACACAAAATAAATTCTACCTCCAACCACGGGTATAAAACAGAGTACATTTCAAAAGTATATTTTTCATAAGCATTTTGAACATGCTGAATTTCAATCAAGGGTAGGTAAGTGGTGTATTTTTAAAATATTTGGACGTATAAGACTTAAAAAACCTTTAACGACCCGTGAATTTTGCAAAAGCTATCTAGCATTTTACATGCAGTTTGAGATAAAATGTAAAGTTCATGACACTCTCCCCAACATAACACCTCAAGTTTGCAGTGACTTGACTTCATTTTCCATTATGACGTCATATTTTGTAGTTCAGAGATGTGAAGGCACAGAGTGCACTGTGATATTCTACGGGAAGCATTAACCTACCTGTGTAATTGGCGTATTACTTGCGATGATGATATATGTGTTTATTGCAAGTTGACAGAGTGACAGAGTGTAACTGAAAAAACGGTATCATGAGTTGTCAACTGTAAATCACAAAAACATCGACCCATATACGAGGGGTTATCAAAAAGTTCGTGGACTGATGCGATAAAATTAATACTATGTAGTGTGTGTTTACAAAATTTATAAGGAACATTAAACAACAAAAGTTTAAGAAGTATTGAAAATTTTAGCTTGATACGTTGATAATTAGTGAAATTATTTTAAAATAAAGAATATATTGTATGATCACCCGGCGCTGTCGTGTTTTAGTTTCATGACGTCCGACAACGTCATTATTTCTCAATGCGCACTCCCTCTGTCTCAGTACACTTATCTTGATGAGATTCCCTGGAGTTAAGTAAAGCTGAAATCTGGTTTGGTTTATATGACATGACAATGTCATGAACAGCTGATTTCAATGCATATAGAATTGTAAATGAATCTATACATAGGGAAAGATTCTCGCTTGATTATGCCAGCATGTTTTGCTTGATGGAGTTCAATATCTACCACACATGATCAACGTTACTCTTTGACGTGATTGACTTTTCACACCTTGACTACAAATCGACATTAACTGTGCATCTCTCATCTAACTGAATCTCTTTTGGTATTTAAAAACAAGCACTCTGGATGGATTTTATTTCTCTATAGACAGTTTAAACATTCCCTAGGCTCATACCAGTTTTTTCAGGGCAAAAACTTTGGTAAAAGAAACCCCTCCCCCTTTATGAAGTCATTTTAAGCCCTTAATTATTTGGGCACTCCTTTTAAAATATACCATAAAATTTCATAGAACTTACAGAATGAGATTAAAATTGCGCATTTTGTGGAACAATTGTGTCCCGTCACATGTCTGAATTAATGGGATTTTTGGATGTCAAGTACTCATATCAAAAGAGCTTTTCTCAGTTACACTCAGGTTGAAAAAACGTCCTGTTCGAGGTTGCGCCGCCTGGACATACCATTGCTTACAAAACCAATACTAATTTATTAAAAATCAAAACTTATGATTTGTGGTTAATTCTATTGATAGAAAAGATGATGCTTACTAATTATTTTAAAATTCATTGATGTACTATAAGCGGTTTTAATTTTATGGCGCTAGTCCACGAACTTTTTGATAACCCCTCGTATTTCTGACCGCTGCTTGAAGAAAAGGGCTCGCCTTTTAATATCAAAATGAAAAAATGAAATTTCGAGTTTATGAGGGATTTTATGAATATTAATAAGAAATAAATTACTGGGAATCAATCTGATGAATAAACTTCGTCCGAAATATCTGTCTTTTCTCGGCGTTTTTCACGATTTTATGTTTTACGTGCCAGGAAAAGGTCAGAACCGGCGCCATTATGAAAACTGGAAATTCTCCGCCTCCAACAGGAGGCGGCATTCTTGGGTCGGTTTTCGATACCTGCGAACCGAATTAAATGTCTAACTCACATCTTATCAACAGTAAAATGCTTCTAGTACTTACCAATATCGTTTTTATTGTTTGTTTGTTTGTTTGTATGTTGTTTAACGTCCCTCTCGAGAATTTTTCACTCATATGGAGACGCCACCACTTGCCGGTGGAGAGCTGCAAATTTTGTCCTATACTTGGCACTTTCGTGCCAGCACCTACTGCGACACGGGACCTCGGTTTATACGGTCTCATCCGAAGGACCGGTCTCCACGTCCCACAGTGGGATTCGAACCCGCGACGTAAGGATCAACTCCTTACTCCGCGACTCTAGAGCTGACGCTCTTACCACTGCGCCACGCGGGCGACTCGTTTTTATTGTTCCATTGTAATAAAAAATGTCTGGTGAAATTTTTTTTTTCATACTGTCGAAGTTTGTTCTGATTTCGTGCATTTTGAAATCTCGGTAGACCTGTATCGAAATGTGGGGTGATATTTTCTTTTAAGCAATATTGGTGAGGACTACATGTGGAAGCATTGTGCTATTTATAAGTTGTGAGTTTGACATTTAATTCGATTTACAAGTATTGGAAATCGAGTTCAGTTGGTTGTGGCGAAATTTCCACTTTTCATAATGGCACCGGTTCTGATATTTTCCTGGCATGAAAAATATCAAAATCATGAAAAACGCCAGATATTTCGGACTAGAATGAACTGTGCTCCATTTCTCCATTTGTTAACTCCTGATTTTTAGAACCTAAGGAATGGACTACCATAAAACAATAATTTAGAACTACAATGTAATTCCATTTTTAGTCAATATAAAATTAATGAAAATTAAAAAAATCGATACAAAGTATTTATGACATAGCATTAAAAATGATAATACAATCATTTTTTTTAATATACGAAATACAATCCTTAAGATATTCCCTAAATAAAATATCTCTCACCTCCAGCGAAAGCTGTACCTATTCCCACAAATAAAATTGGTTTCATGTCTTTCAGAACAAACAGTTTTAACACTGCCATGATTGCTGCTACCACTAAAACCAGAGAAGCAAGGATGCTCATTGCTCGGACAGCCTTGAGCCAGTCTGTAATTAAAAGAAAAAGTTATACATATATCAACGACATAATGTCTTGTGCAAATACAACAGATCTAATAATTTCATAATCGTTCCAATGGTAATATCGGCAGTTTTCAGGAACTTTGATTTTGCGTAAATGTTTATGACTTTTTCTTTTACAAATTCGGTCAAACCTTTTTTGAAAATGAAGTCAGGCTTCATCATGGGAATTATAGATATTTTTTCTTCATTTTTCCCGTTAAGAAAATTCCAAGAATAAAATGATTGTTAGAATTTGTAGGGGATATTTCTGTACCTTTATCTGTAAGACCTTCTTCAGTATCCATGCATACGGTAATTCCATATTGGAATGTTTCGGTACATGACTTCCATAAACCAGCATTTGTTTTCATAGTCGTGGAATCAACCAATATCCAGTAAGGTGACGCCAAACCGATCAGTTGAAAGACTACTGCACATATTGTTAGCACCAGTGCAATAAGCAAAAACTTGGAGGCTTCCATAGTTTCAAATCTAAAACATTTTGCAGCAAAAATTAAGTTTATATTACCAATCCACATCTGAAAATACATATACAATAAAATGCCTATACATTGGTAACAGCTATGTCAAAAAGAGTTAATAACTATGAAAATACAATAATATACCAATTGAGAGGAATAATGATAATATTTTAATGTTGATTCCATTTTGCCTTCAATGATAATTTGTAATATTAATGTTAAGTGGAGGTAAAGAACACTTTGAGGGTACAATAGTCAAAGGCATACACATGTAGGTACTGCGTTCGACGTTTTGTCGACGTTTCCCGTTTTGACGGTGATTTTATAGAGTAGAAACATGTCATTACATATTCATCGCGAAAACCTTTAACTAAAAGCACTTCACTCGAGCTCTCAGGGGAGGCCTGTTAATCCAATGGGCTTCATGTATTCCTTATGTTTTAAGACACAAAACATCATAATAAATCAGGTGTTAATCAGTTCATGGGTGTTTTTTCTGTCATGGTCACACCGAACAGAGCTATAATAAGCCCCGACGTAACCAAAATAGTGTTAATTGTCTTCAAACCTTTCGAAGTACTTAACTCTGCTCCAGGATATAATCCTGCCATACTGGCAATCTTAATAAATAATACCTCTCAAATCGATAAAGTTCAGAATTATACAAAAAGTCGTCACCTGCCTTTTTTATAGTGGTATATGTAGGACATATTTTTTCTTATGTTGGAAAGTAATATTCGAACGAGATACTATATGTGTTTTTGCTGCACTGATCATGCTATTCATACAAGAAATTAGGTTGTAATTTAAGCACCAATTATTATCTTGTCAGCACGAATTCTTATGTAGTTCGAAGACTTTTAAAAAGATAGTTCACATTCTGACTTAAGATTAAAATACTTCTTGTTCTGTCTTAGTTCTGTTCAAAAAGACTTCAGAAGCTACCAACATTTTAAATAGTCTCACCTTTACAAAATGTGTTTGAATTTAAATAGATTCGCTTTTACAAAATCTTTGAAATTCTTTATCTTCTTTTCTTTTGGGAAAGATACTGCCATAAAGCGAAAGTACCACAAAAATTTTAATCTGTGAATAAAAGGATTGTACATGTGGTAATATCTTAAATTTTATACTATGTAACATTTACAAAAGATTGATTGATTGTATGTTGTTGGAGAATTTTTCACTCAGATGGAGATGTAACTATATACATGTACCGTTAAAGGGCTTCAAATTTAGACCGACACTTGGTACTCAGGGCCATTGAGCAGTGAGGGTTCTTTATCGTGCCAACGCCTACCGTGACACAGGACATCGGTTTTTAAGGTATCATCCAAAAGAATGACTTCTGATGCCGGTGCTTAAGGAAGGAACACTCAATATCTGTGTTTTTATCTTAGGTTTGACGCGGCGCGTCGAACGAGAATTGAACCTGGGCTTCCTGATTAGAAATCGAACGCCCTAACACTAGGCTACCGTGACAAGTTCATTTACGAAAAAAATGCCTGCCTTAAATAAAAATACTCTTCAAGAATCTGGCACGGAAAAAAACTTCTACGAAGAATAATGCCATTTGTTGAGAATATCGATTATAATAGCTTCTTTTTAAAGTTGCTTCAAGAAATATAAATACATAGGGATTTAGATCTTCCTCTTAATATTTCAGTAGATTCCCTTGTTTGCTTGTAAAATACATGGAATACCCCTTCAGAAATTAAAAAAAAATGTGTTTCCTTTAACACAAAAAAATGATGCTCAAAGCTGTCAATCACAAGCATTGAGCTTCATGCGAATGATATGTAGATTTTTTTAAATGTTGGTAGTTGAAAGTTTTAAAAACTGAAGTGTAAAACTTTCTTATTTATTTTTAAATATGACGCATAACATTGCAATCATAAAATTTCATGTAGTGCATATAGATCAAAGAAATGATATGTTTCGAGCAAACTAGACAATACTTGTACAAATAAGTTAATAAAGTAGTTCAAAAGAAATATTGAGTCGTGTGAAGGATACATAAGTCAAACGAACTAGACATCTCGTGTAAACGAAATGATAAATCATGCGAATGATTTAATAAGGCTTGGAAACGATCTAACATTTGGTGAAACTAATACAATATTTTTCAACTTAAGAAGGAAAAATTATTTGCATTTTCTAAATACTAGTATATATTGTACCATCGTTCTATCAATTTTACAAAATTTTTAGGGGATTTTGCCTATTGTGCCAATCATTGATACCCTGTAATCATTTGTTTTTGTTTTTTTTTTTTCAAATAAAGCTGCTTCACATATGTGTGTATTCAATTTCAGTTTCTTAATAGAGCCGCGGTAGAATAAAAAGTTTTTAAGTTTCCTTAATCAATTTAATTAAAATGTTACTATGCAATTAATACCGAAGTTTTAAACCACTGATTAGACAGGTGATAAAGAATTGCGAGTTAAAAAGGTATGTAAATTTCATTCGCAATAATGACAACAATATTATCACAAACACGATCATCCTCGAAAAAGTATTTTTGTTTTACTTAAGTATGTAAAACATAATCAAGAAGAGATTTAAAAAAGATGGAAAATGTTCATTACCTGATGCGATTCCCTCTTTTAATCTCAGAGCAGTTTAACCCTTATTCTAAGGAGAAGCTTTGAAGAATGTGCAAAATTTGGAGTCCGTTGAGATATTTATGCTGCCATTGCTTGTTCAGGCATGCATTTTGTACATATTTGAAAAAAACAGATTAAGAGGTAGTGTTAACAAGTTAAAACCTGAAAATTTCGAAAGCTGTTAAAATACCTAGAAAATATTGATTTGGAAGGGTTTTTCCAGTAACTTGAGTCTTTCAATTTGTAGAGAGATAGGTAGAGCTCTGTGCGAATTGAAGGACAACCCAGAGTTGGTCTAATGTTAATATGTCTTGCTAATGATTTTTTTTCAATTGACTTGTCAAAGATAAGGAAGAAATGTATCTTTTTCTTAACGTACTTTTTTAGAAAAGGGCAAAGAGATTTAAATATGACAAGAGATGATACCAAAGATACATATTAGTATATTTTATTAATATTTTCACTTCAAATGCACAACTATTAGCGTGTTATTAATTAAAAACAAATCTGTAATACCATATATATCCCAATCTAAAAATTTTTTTTTTCTTTACACATTAATACAACAAAAAGCTGCACGTACATATCAAGATCAGAACAATTCATGAAGATACAAATCTGATTGTATTGAAAAGGTGGTTGAAAATTGAATGTATTGCCTATTTCTATGCCCTCAAAGTGACTGATAAAAAAAAAAGATTAAAAGATTGAATTTTTAAAAATCTGGTAATATTATCAAGAAGCAAAAGTAGCTATTTTTGACGTACATAAGCACATAAACACCTGAGGGCGCATTGGTTGCAACTTCCTTTTTCATTCCTCCAGCATCAACTTGGGTCGGTAAAGAAAAATTCCCTCTTGTTATTGTTGTATTATTGATTTAAAACACCCACCCACCACACCTATTTAGAATAGATACTGCTTTTCCTTTTTTTTTAATTTTTATATTTTCAGACGAAAACTTGTAGCAGACATCAATCTCAGCATGACATGTCCAAACCTAATCAGTACTTCAACACGAAGGACTTTCGAGATAAAACTATGGTCTTAGGGAGCAGCTAAGGGGACCGAGCCAGAAGTAACTTTTCCAACTCACAAAACTTTCAAGAAATTGAATGTGAAAGTGATGTGAGGATTCTCTGTCCCAACTTGAGGGCGTAAAGATGCGGAATTGATTCAGTCGAAGAGCAAATCATGCACCATTTCTGCAGTAGCCAATAACTTCCTTACCATAAACAATAATGTGGATTTGTAGAATCTGGTACGGCTGTCCGTTCCTTTTTCAGCTGAGATGCTTGTAAACGAGCGGCACTAAGTAAATATCCTTATATGCAGTGCTGTAACTCATGAAAGTTTTTAAGTAAACTTTGGATTTATATACATATAAATAAGTGTTTGACCTCTGCACCTCCCAGGGTCAAGACTTTTACCTTGTGAGATAGTGTTTTGTGACCTTTGAACTATGAACTTTGAACCTGAGTTTGAATATTTAATTAAGTAATCTTTGCTTTGTTGTTTTGCCAGAGACAACAATAGCTTTTGATAATTTGGTCTCTGGATATACAGCCGTGCCCAATTTTCGCCACAATAAAATTTATTTAGGTATATGCTTTGTGTTTTATATGCACTTATCTGTGATGTGATAAATTAAGGGAGCTGACTGGGGTTTTATTGTGTGAAAACTACTATAGAGAAACTCTTTAATTTTATACCATATGTAGCCTACACTGACTTCAGTATACATACCAAGTTTAGTGAAAATCTACCGTCTGGTTATTTTTAGGGACCATCTCAAAATACAGGTACATTTACTATAGGATTATATAGGAAAATACCATTTTTTCGCACTTCTGAGCAGATTATACAAATGCTACTATAGACTTTTTGCTCAAATTATATTATTTGATGGGTAATACTATATTGTACATTTTGTGCAAGAAGCACAAAATTCTACCGTCTGGTTTCCAGAGGGGGCATCTCAAAATGTCAAAATTCATGATATTTTCCTGTTTTTATGGAGTACAACAAAACATGACAGATACCACAGATTGACATAAAAAATGATAAAAATGATTGTTAGATTCTCAATTTCCTATGTTAAAAATTTCAAGAGCACGTATTTTATACTTTTTATTTTATGGCATAATTAATGATCCCGCTTCAAGAACTTCGGTTATTCATAACGTCAAAAGCACACTATTACGACGTCTATCTACCCATCATTTGAAAAATCGTTTAAAAAATCAGTAATTTAAAACCTAATTAGATATTTTAACCTGAGATTTCCTAAATTTGTTAATTTTTATAAATTATGTAAGAATAGTTGATTTAAAAGGGTAAATTTTCTTTATTTTACTATGCTGCGCGAAGTATTGCGCAATGAAAACCCCAGTC